AAGGTTTCATCTAGAGGGGAAATGAAGCCGTCCGTCTCGTCCAATATTTCACGGGGCAATATGGGTATAAATAAGGGGGTTTCGTCGGCGAAGAAAAAAGTTCTCGTCTGCATGTGGATGTCTTATGACCACACTTGACTAGAAGGCAAAGAGACGCGCGGCTTTTTCTACGCGGCATTTATGTGCCAGCCACCATGCAGACATTTTCTCGTAAATTTTCAATACTCTATATTGAAACCTGCTCCGGGCGGAAAGTATGACGCGTTAACGAACCTCATTCTCACCAGGACTTCCTGCTGGGTGTAGGTGCTATCTATCTTAAGTCTCTGGTAGCCTCATTTATTTCTTCGTGAACGACTGAAATTGTAAATAACATCAAACTTTAACCTTCTGTAGAAGTAGCACATTGTGCAAGGTTTGCACAAGTTTGATATAAACACTTTCTTACAGGTGAACGATTTCTGCTCTATCCAAAGTCACCAAATGCTCCAATTTTTTTTTAACCCATTGGCAATATCGCTTCCCCTGAGCGGTTCAAAAGTTAGTCTGGGATCTGAGTTATTCTTAGCAATAGCTCACACAAAAGTATGCCCTTGAGGTTATCAACTTGAATAAACATTCTTTTCAAGTACTTCAAAATGATCAAATGCCAAAGCCAAGATTCTGTCGACTTGGGGTCACTGTGTTACCCGTGGCCTAACATTGAAAACTTGTTGCGCCTATGGAGTCTCATTTGATCATTTACGGGCGACTTAATGTATTGGGAAGGGAAGAATTCATCACCCGATTGCAGCGAAGGATATCCAGGACAAAAGACTAAGTAGGCCTGCCAAGAAAACCATGCTTTAGTCGTTCCATACCTTGGAGACTTGCGGTACATTGCTTGAACGGAATATTGTCTTTGACCTCTTTCACTTGGCAGTCTTAGAGTCTATATAGAGTAATTTTATTTATGCATACCTTTAATTTCATGTTTTGAGTAATCTCTGCTGGGAATCACCTCGAATCTCGAGGCAGTGCTGGATGAGTTTGGTTTGCGTCGGGGAGAGACTACTGCGGAACTTCAGATAATGCTACGTAGCTTCCGATATGTTATTGGATAAGTTTAATATGACGGGTGATCCAGACATTTTATTGTGGGCGGAGAGAGAAAGGGAATATATAAAAACAAGGAGAAAAGAACGGACCGCCTCTTGCATGAAGAAAAGTCCGCCTCTTTCTCAACAACTGAAACGTGTAGCTATAAATTTTATGACTTCTCTGTTATACCCTGTATACACCCCTTTATGGAGACACGTTGTCCGTGACCCGGAAAATTGCTCGTTCCCATTCTCCATGCCTAATTTTACCCCATTCCATTTTCTTTCCTTCCACAACGGCTGCCCCTCTGTGTAATCGCATGAGCTAGACTTTTTTTTTAGTAGTTGTGATGAGGGGCGACAAAGATGCCGCCTCTCTAACAGGAATGGACTGTGAAGAATCATGCAAAAGCCAGATGAAATCGCTGTTCAGCACCATCACTCTTGCACGTCTTGCTGGCCGGCCAAGGGACAGACCGCGTTTGTATTATATTTAGGAGCTATTATATTCCGCCATCAAGGAGGCGAAGTTTACTATACTCTGAGATGGTTGGTCGCGCGACTTAGCAGTATTAAGACGGTAGTTGGTAGAGAGATATTTTACGCTCTCGCATGTTAAAATTGTGTCCGTATCATAAAAGGGTTCTTCAAAGTCATCTTCCCATCAAACCAAACGCGATTTGATTAACAGACATTACAAATCAAAACAGGCTCCCGGGGAGGGGGGGAACAAGAAACCGGCAAGACTCTTCCTTTCATTGCAATGTTGTTATTTTGAACCCATGTTGAAGAATGTATCCCATTGTCCCATTGTCTATCTGTGGCGCATCATAATTTCGACACAAAGTCTTTACGAGCAGAATTAACATTTGAAGTCCCATTCGGTGTTAGTACATTATGGCCCTTTCTGACGAAATTGAGTTGTGGTCAGGCTATGACTTTCTTTTATGTGCTGCCTTAGTTGACTCATTCATGTCATCTTCTCCATTGAGACATTCAACAGCATAATTTTCATATTGGCCTCTCTTGGTCGACGAGCCGATTCTCCTAACCTCATTCCCTTCTGTGGGATATGGGATTTGGAAATGACGCGGTTCGTTCAGTTTGTCGAGCCTCTGGTCGAATTGGTCTAACAAGTACCTCCGTACTTCCGAGAACGTAATGAGTTCTTCGACAAATGGAAATGGCTTTTTCAGGTTACGATTGTCACATTCGTACAATTCACACTAAGTGCGGCAGTAGAAATATTTCGTACACGTTTCACTGCATCAGGGAGTTCATCCCTCGCCTTAATCATTTGGAAGTGTCTTCCTCTAAAATGAAGGACCAGTATAGGAGCCTTCTAGGATGAGGCTGAAGTGAGACCAGAAAGTCAAACGACACAAAAGTCACTGTACTGGGCCCAATACCGGTGGATTGTGCCTGAAGAGTGGAATACATGGAGATGCCCGAGTCTTTTACTTTTCTCACTAGAGATGACTTTTAACACGTTGACCGCCAGTGGTTTGGAACCACTCTTCTTCCCTATGGCGAATGTGACACACTGGTGTGTCACGTGGCGGTCAACGTGTTAAATATGTGGCGCCGATAAATCTTATCAGACGTGATGCTCTGTGAATGGCTCGAGACTTAGCTACGAGCAAATTGATGAACCTGGACGGGACGAAGCAAAATAAAATATTTTACGGTCTTGTCCCCGTCCTCTCCGGTCGGCCGATGTCCTGCTGGAATCTGTCCTTTCATGTTAATGTAAACATGTTGGATTTTATCAGTCACGATGCTCAGTAACGGATACCATGCCTTTCGGCTAGAGGACAGCACGCCGACCCGAGAATCCTATGGAGCATTCTAATACTTTCAGTGAAATCGCTCCGAAAGGAAATCGTCATCGTCTTGACTGCATCTTTCTTTCTTAGTCGATCATTGATGTCCCTATCCCAAGTCTTCTTCCCCGTAGCTCGTAAAGGAGAGAGATGAGGAGTCACTGAAGCTTAGCATGTGTCGAGGGCGAGCAGAATAGCTCTGCACCCGGAATGTCAGATGTCTGTCCGGAAGGAAGACGAGACATCCCTGCTTATTTTGGCATGTAAGCTTCTGGTTCATTCCTAACTCGTTTTCCTCCATGACTCAAGTGCGAGAGAGAGATGTGAAGTGCTCCTCACTACTCCATGTATGAGTGAACAGAAAGTTCTATATTTCGACGCAGCTGGTTAGTTGTGCTCTAAAATTAAGAAAATCTACTGCAGAGAGGTAGTGGGAAACAAGAACGAAGCCTTTCCAATGTGATTCGCGAGGAAACTCACTTCGTGTCATGGACGAACTTTCCCGTTAGTTTTTGTTCTGCTCGAGGCAAAGCCTTGTTCTGCTGCTCATACTTGTCTGTCATTGTGAAGATATCTAGGTCTAGGAACAGACAGAGGAATCAGTGCCAAAGTGTGAAAATTGTTTGCATTACTCTGATAAATTCATGAGGATCGTTCAGTGAAATGAGAGCCGGGTCAAAATAGACATATAACCCAATAAACCATGTAAGACATAGGAACTTAAGGAACGCATGGTTAACCGGCAGCATGCTGTCGAAGTCCTCGCTTTTACTATCGTTGCCCCGAGGTTAGAGATAACTAAACATAAGTTTAGTTAGTCTGGTCAGTCTGGTCCTTTCTCCTGGTCTGCTGGTATGCTTATGCCACCGTGTTCACGAATCATGGGATAGCTGGTGTGACGAGAGATGGCTTAGAATTGCATATATCTGAATCTGTGAAACATTTCTCATCGGTTTTCTACCTTGCTCCTCTGTTGAACGTGCCCCGCTCTGTCTTGGGTGGAGTGCGTAACACCGAATTAGCCCTGGGTCGATCTGTTGTTGAAAACGAACCTCAGGAAGTGATTTGGCTCATATTTATCAGGTGTCAAATGAATCCATGTACAGGGTGGCCCAAAAAACCCACCGATTTGGAAGTACGGTCGCTGGATCGAACACGTGATCAATTTTAAAATTATTTTGGCGATTAGTAAATGAATTCTGCAAAAATATGTCAAATTAGTGATTGATTATATGCCATGCAATCATCCAGTCAATTGTAATAGTGTCAATAAATAGCAAGTCCCTTTATTTTATTTTATTTCTCAGCAATTTTGCAGAAAATCGTAATTGGCGGGTTTTATGGGCTACCCTGTAGAATGGGTGCATGAGATTTGAACATTGGTGGAGAACACAGTGCATAGTGCATGGTCTAATCCTTTTCCTCTCCACATCCAGTCAACTTTCTCTACTTTCACCTTTTATTGGAGAAGGAGAAACATCTCAGATGTTTCAGAAAACGATACAGTGTAACATCAAGCAGTTCCCGGTCGGTTTGACGCAGAAAAGAGAGCGAGTCCTATCTGCTTCACAGTTCCATTTGAAAGCCGACAAGCGCATGGACAACTCCATTTCGAAGCAACCATTCTTCTTCGTTGTAACGGTCGTCCATACTGACATAGTATATTTAAAGGTCCAGCCCCCTTACAGCGTTCTTGACACCATGGCTCAATTTATGGGGCCACAAACAACAAGCCTGTCTCTGGCGAAGAATGGCCGCCTGTGATTCGGCCCCTAGTGACGTCCTGCGACGAAATGAAGTAGCCCATAGTTCTCCTTTTAGAAGTCAGATGTCAGCAGGTGTGAGTGGCGGCGGAACTATATTTTAGAGGAAACCTGGCTGCTGATTGGTCGTCCGGCACAGGAATGGGTCGGCCTTGAAAATGTTTGTGACTGGCGCAATGCGTGAAGGAGGGTGGATAGAGGGAATTCTGCGGTGCATGCTGGGGAGAGAGAAGAAGGAAAGGGTATACTCGGGGGGAGAGAAAAAAATCCCAATATTCCTGATATAGACGGCCAGTAAGGACCGAGCCGGTGCATGGGCTACGACTCAGTGCATCATGAACTCGTACTTTGAACAAAGTGGGTTCTACGGTGGGCAAAGCGGCGATCAAGCGGCTGCTGCTGCTGCTGCTTACCGTTTCCCATTGGGACTTAGCGTATCTCCCTATGGACAAACTCAAGCTCGCACGAGTCAGGACTTAGCCTACGACACTTCGGCGGCTTCTGCCTGTAAACTTTATGGCGCGACTTCTCCGAGTGCTGACAGCTCGGCCTACAAAGTGGAATGTGTGACCAAAGAACAGACAAGTTTCCCGACGTCGACCAGTAAAGACATGGGTTTGGGCTCTTGGGCCGGAGGTGCCCTTGGTGCCATGAGGGCACCCGTAGGTACCCCAGATCCTAGCAGATATGGGGATCCCACGGGTGCTCGGGCTTCGTGGAATCATTGCTCGCTGAACAACACGGCACCCGCTGGAATGGTGGGTCAACCCATGCAACAAGCCGCTAATCACACCTTCTATCCCTGGATGGCCATTGCAGGTAGGTAGGCTTATCTGTTATATATGAGTACAATGTTCCTGTCCGTGTCATCAACTCTTTGAGCTTTTATGACTCTCGGCCCGGTTTATGGGTCCTGGAGTGGGACAGTTATAAAGGGCATGGGATGACGTCATTTTTACCAGCTCTCTATCTTTTATTGTCCCCATGGAAAAGCCCGAAGGGGGAACCAGCCCTGCCCAAATGCTGCAGTATGCCCTTCTTTTTTCCCCCCCCCCCTTCCCCCGGCCGAAGCCCCTCTCTCTGCAATTATATTTCACCCCCGAAGTCCATAGATCCCCTTTAGTATCCCGAGACTGCATGCGACGAGTGTTGGGTTCCAAGTCCGGGATTTTCTCTCCGCGCCCGTCAGTTGAATTCAGAGACCATGTGAAAGCACGTCTCTCGAATGCAATAAGCAAGGAAGTCCTTTGAGTTTTGTTTCCTTGTGTGGATTTGGTTTCTGGACGTGATTTTAGTGTGACTGTCCGGTGTGCGATGACGAATTTGAGCCATTGTGGAACTCATTTATCCCAAGCCGTTTCGTTAGTCTGTTGCAGAGGAATTGTTAATGCTCGCGCATGATAAAAACTATCCACCCGTTGGACTAATTCGCGTCATGATCTTGCGAAATCATGGAAAGTTTGGCTAGGAAATGCTAATTCCTACAGTTGCGGTTTTCCCGTCTTGACGAGCCGCGAGGAATGTTCATCTTAACAGCGCGGCAAACAAGTGGCAATAATTATTGTAAAGACCCCCCGGTTTCCCGAAGGTGTTCCCCCTGTAATCCGCAGATAATGCGTTTCTCCGTTTATAGAGCGCCATTGCGGGCCGCTAAAGTAGGAACATTGTTGAGCACGAGGAAGCCGCCGGGATCGTAAAAGCCCGTCGTAAAATTTCGCCCCTTTACCGGATCTTTTCATGCCTCTTTCTCCTGCCTCGTTTCATGTAGCATTACGTGGAGCATACAATGTCGGGGATATACGCTAAAAATTTTGCACAGTTCGTTAATAGTTGTCCAGGCGACTCTTGTATCGCAATTCCCCACGCTTATGAACCCGACACTGCATGCAAAAAAACATGGCATTTCTCAATGGGAATCCTGATGCACATTTTCTTTTCATTTCATTACCATGCTGCCTTTTCCGCTTCCATTTCCAATATACTTCGCACATCACGGTGAAATTCATGTATTGGAGAATATTCGAACCCCAAATTCACAAGATGATTCGCTGTCGTAAATTCCAAGAAGTCCATCACATTGCTTGCTATTGACGTGGCCTTTCCAGTTGCCGACAGGCTTGGAAAAAAATGTTGCTAGTGCCGATGCAATGCGTGGAACTTTCGGAATGGCAATACATTTAACCTGAAAGTCGGAACTTTGGACTTCCGTTTAGCATTCGCGAACTGAGTGTGCATCTTTTTGTGTTTCGTGGTTCAATTCCTCTAACACAAAATCGCATTCGACAGGGACACAGGGACACAGATTGAATCGTGAACTTCTCGGTTCACGATTCGTCACGACGATTTGAAGAAATCGCTGGTCCTCAAATTCGGTTGAATACGTTGAATGACAAGTTCCTTTGAGATATCGCATTCTGAAACTGTAGCCTTGAGCCATTCATTCAAAGTATTAGAAAAATCCGTGACATTGTGAAACACAGACCGTAATAAAATTAGAAACTGAAGAATATAATAAAATATTTTTCGGCCTCTTCAGTAATTCCGCTAGAAAGATGCAGAATTACGGATTTAATACATAGCGGGGTACTTCTGTCGAATGAGTGGTGATCAATGCAGCAGGGCTATGTTGTAGGCCTATTGGCTATTGGCACTATCGGTACGAATATGCAATCGACCGTCGTGATAGGCTCTAAGAGGCTCCTCGTTCGAGGCCTTGCTTAGGGACAGAAGAAAGCATAATGACAGGAGCGATTGCGTGCGTTTTCAGTCTCTCACATGCTATATCACATATACGACTATCATCAAGCGACTACTAACGTCCATTGCATGGGGAATGTAACCCTTGGGCAGCAGAATCGCCTGAGCTCTGAATCCGTGTCCTTACGTCTTTATCTCAAGATATAATCATGAAATTTGAGGTTTATGCAGGTTTCAGGTCCTCCAGAATCAGACTGGATCGGTCACTACAATTTGCAAGTGTTGTTGAATATGTGTGGGGAATCACGACCTGCTGCCAACATATGTAATTATTGCAGAAAATAAAAAAAAGGTATTCGCAAGTCATGAGATTCTGATACTACCATTACATATCCCGTAAATTTTATACCCCTCATATGTAGTGACCCTGAATTTAAACTGGTTAAGTCAGAGAGAAGTACGAAAGCATTAGGAACCGTTTTTTCGCTCGTATTAACTGGCGTTAACCAATAAATTGACAATTATGCAAGGTTCCTGAATTTACCCGCGCGTTTACGATGCAATGAACCCATGGCAGTTGTTTATCGAGTTTTCTCGGTGCATGTAAAATGAAAGTTGCATTGAGAAGGTTCCGCATTTTCCAGACATCACGTAATCCTCTAGTCCGAACCTGAATGCTCACATAGCTGTGTCTGACGCTTTAAATGTTTCTGTGAACGTAAAATATTTATATGAAAACCGTAACCGAGTCCACCTTGCGTTTGCAGCTTGAGGAAGAATAGCTCATGGGTCTTGCTCTTTTCTTTTTGCCCATGAAACTGCTCATTCATTCCATGAAGGCCCTTGCCTGCATTCATGCTACATTGTGTGCTGATTGCCTTTCCTCGTTATTTTGTTGCTGCTTTCATGGTTCTTTCTCGCCAATTCATTATCGAATAAAGTTGAGCTATTTTCTCCACTAATAGCCCAACAAAATATTTCGGCAACCTAAGATAGTTGTTTTGCTGTCAACTCAACGTGTACGCCGAGTGGAAATGGAGGCACGCACATCGCATCAAGAAGGAGCTCGTGTCTTTTCCAAAGCAATCAGCCGGCTAATGCACTCGTTCTGGGACTGCCTAAGGGGCAGATTAGAGCTTCTTTTTAAGTTTCCCCAAGTCACGATGAGTATCTCGTCAACGATGAAACTTCATTATTTCATTGCCATGCTAGATCGGACGTGAAATTCGCGTGGTATGCATGGTATGAATGAGAGGTTACGTATATGCACATATGGGGTTGAAATGCTGCCAGTTTTAGTGAGTTGGTGCAAACTGTAGGGCGCTGCTAATCTGCAAAGCATGCCGAAGTCCAATGCCCGTGCGCGAAGGGGTAGCCCCGTCTAGACTTGTCGACACCAGACGCCCCTTAACAGGCATAACGAAGGACTCCACACACGCTCCTTTCTCTCACATGTGCGGACCCTTCTTCAGTCCGCACATTCCCAGAGACACGCTCTTCCCCTCCTTTTTCTGTCCCATACAAAAAAAAAGTACAATTTTTTTTTTTAACCTCTTCATGTTTGATGGATTTGTGTTTTCGCAGACAAAAGCCGCATTGCTTTGTCCGGGAATCACAAATCTGTCAGACCCTCTGCGTCTGTCTTAGCTTTTTTTTGTTGTTCTGGTATTCCGAAATTCCGAAATTTACTATTGAGATTTCTTCTGCAATTGTGAAAGGTTGAATGCATTTCACTGAGTTTAGGTCTGAGTTGGCCCGAACCTTCTACATGAGTCATTTGCAAGTACTAATTTAAAAGATGAGCCAAAAACATAGGACAGTATGAAGGATTTGTTAACATTATGAGGTGTCCTATTCAATGCAACTTTTCTGGCTGATAAACGATCAAATTCCAAGTGCCAGATTTTATAACCGACCTTTTACTGAGTTCGAATTGCATAGGCTGATAATACTGGGCAAGAAAGCGTGAAAAGGTCACGAACCGGAACCCTTTCATTTTCGGAGCTCATGAAAGGCTGTTAAAAAATGAAGATGAGACAGAGGGACGTGAGAGGAGTTGGCTTCCTGTGCAATTATCCGGTCGCTAGCTCGCGGGCTCCATCATGATGAAACGTGTAATTGTCAACCCGCTCCTTCCTACAGGTCGTATTTCTTTCATAATTATATCCCAACGTCCATTCCTGACTTGACTCGGTTCCAAAGCAGACCTCATAAAGTACTTACTTCTTCCTAATGGGGGCGTAAATGCATGAGAAGGTTTGAGGAAACTGTCTCAGACGCTCTAATCTTATTTTCATGTCAGGTTTCTCCGAGTTTTACTTCATAGGAGCCACTCTTGCATTTGATTCATCCAATGAAGAACCACAAAATATTCAATACATTTCACTCCAAAGTCATGGATGATAGCAAATAAAATTTAATGGATTAATTTTAGGCGTGGCTTCATGACAGGTGAGATACTCAACACTGACAGAAGTGGTGAAGATTTTGCTGAAAATTGATCTTTTCTTATTAGCTGGACTAAGCGCATCGCCTTTAAGCAAGATCCTGTCTTACCGAGAGATGAAGCTTTCAACTACTGTCACAGAGCTTTTTACTGACTTCTGTGGATTCTGTGTCCTATTATTACTTAAAGTGCGCCGTTGAACCATCGGAACAGAGATTAACGTGAAGTTCGGAACATAATATCATAATTGTGTATTGTAATATAATGTTGGAGTTGGTGACTACTTATTTGTATCGTTGCTTCTGTCTCATACCGTGGTAGAGCCGGTTGCTTTCAACCTTTGGCGTGAGAAGGAAGATGAGAAAGGCCGATAAGGAACTATAGGCCTATATAAGGGATAGGGATAGCTCGATTGCATCACGTTCGTTCCTCTCCCCTTCTCTGAGGCCGAAAAGACCCTGCAACGGATTTATCTCCCTGATCTATAGGCCCACACATCTCATCTTCCTTTCCGTCATGAATTGAAACCTGCTGTTTTGCATGTTCTTCCCATGAGGAGGGAAAATGATTCGTTGTGAAAGACAAACGTCCTCTTTACTCTCAGTGAGTCACGTCTCTGAAATTTTCAACATTTTTGCTATCAACTCCCAGGAAAACGAAAAAAGATAACTGGCGAATGTACTG